AGTCGGCAGCCAGCGTACCTGGTGTCGGTGTCCCATAAGTTGCTAGAACCGAAGCTGCATTACTCAAATGGGTCCCCATTAACAGTCGTTTATGTACTGAGAGGATGGAAGGTTATACGAAATTAAGAAGCGGTAGGTCAGATATATAGTGCCTTTTTGTTGTCTTCGCTTACGCACTGACAGATTGCAGTTCGGATGCAATTAAGGATGAGTTTTACTACCAACTGAGCTATCTAGGGAAACAGGCGTGTAAGAGGGATATAGTACAGCTGGCTGAAGACTTGGATGCACAGGCCGGGCGTCTAGGCGCAGAGGAGAGTCATCCAGGTGGTCAGTGAGGATTACATGGTCGCAGCGGAAATAACACAGATCATCTTATGCGGTTTTTTGTGTATCACAACCTATTTATAGCCAGCACCAACTTCTGGCAGAGTGATTATCGTAGCGCTACCTAGCTACATCTGGGAGGCACCACACAAACTGCGAGTGAAGCAGCTTATGGCTTAAAAGAATGCTCCGCTAAAAACCACTGGGTTTTTCAGAGCTCCATGCAACTCATGGATGAACGCCGGTTCATTGCGCCAGGTAGCGAGTACAACAAGATGCAAAAGACGCCTACATAAATGATTAAACAGTGTTTACCTAAAGACCGCAAATCCTAATGGTCAGAATGTGCGTGTGAAATGAAGTCAGCAGCCGAATCTGGCAACAGCCGAAAGCTATTCCAGCTCATCCGAGCCACCTGCGGCAAGACACAGGGTATCAGAGTGACAGCCTGCGAGGCAGAGAGCACGCCAGTTACCAGTTTGGAAAGACTCCTGTAACGCCGGGCTGAGCACTTTGAGGAGCAGTTTGTCTCGCCACCAGGTCCAGCATCCACCGTTATCACCTCCAGTGCTTCTTGGTCGGTCAGTATCGACCCACTAATCGAAGTGGAGATCTGAAAGGAACTCCAAGGACTGAAACGCCATAAGGCACTTGGCCCAGACAATCAAACCCCGGTACTTCCTAAGGATAGTGCGAGACTCTTGTCATAGCTTTATCTGGATCATTCAGGAAAGTATGGGAAATTGAGGAGGTGATGTCAGTGTGGAATGAGGCCATCATCGTCTCAACTTTTAAAAGGGGCCGACGCAACACGTGCGACAACCACAGGTGTATTAATTTGCTGCCAGTCGCGTCTAAAATATTGGCTGCTGTTTTGCTTTGCAGGGTATGCAAAATATGTGAGGAGTTGACTATCGAAGAGCAGGCTAGATTTCGTTCAGGCCGTAGATATATTGATCTTGCGGAACATCAAGAAAGAATCCGCCCCTAGACAAATTACAGTGCTAAATTAAAAAAATGTTTATGAGTCTGGCATTCAAAGGTGACACCATTTCGGAATTGATTAAAACTCGTTTATCTAAATGTATTAAACGCACTTTTCCTGCAGCTGACTTGCAATTAGTTCTTACCAGCCGAAAAATGACTAGACAATGTGCGTCAAGGATAGATTACCGCTTCTGTCCACATCTATGTGTATTTACTCTTTTACCTGCTCTTGTGGAGCTGTTTATATAGGAAGTTGTAAGCGTAATCTCCGGAAATGTGTAGCTGAACACTATCCAGTCTGGTTAATGAAAGGCGAACGTAGAACCGCGAAGTCGTCTATTTGTGATCACCTGTTAGAGTCAGGTCATTTAGCTCCACGTGATTCATCTTTCAAAGTTATCTACATGGCAAAATCGAATCGCTCCAAAAGTTTACGTTTTCTTCACTTATGCATAGCCGAAGCTTTAGCTATACATGAACAGAAACCTAAATTATGTGTTCAAAAACGTTTTGTCAAACCCCTTTCTTTACCTTGGTCATAGTAATGTTCTTTCTAGTTTTTACTTTATTTTATTTTACCACTTGAATTCTTTCCACTTCACATCATTCTTATCGTAAACGTACTCCTAATTTTTTAAAATTTTTAGACAACACTTGACATTTTAAAAACATTTTTGATTTAAATTCACTTATAAAACAATCTTTAATAATTTTGTAATTTATCCACTTCAATTCTACCCTTTATAACATTTTAATTATCGTTATTCTTATCACATATATGTATATTGACTGAGCAATTATTTAGTGCCACTTAATAACCTTTTCTGAAATATAAATACGACTGTACAGCTTGAAAATGAAGTCGTTGAAAAGAGATTTCTTCGCTGAACAAAAAATTATTTAAGTGGTGATGAACCTAATGTTAGTAATCGGTTGAATTTCATTATTTATTTGTGTAACTCTTCCAACCGCTGGTATTTCATTTTTAGTAGCAATTTTATTCAGTGTTGGTAAATGGATGAATTAAAAACCAGTTTTACTACTGAAGAACATGATTTGTCAACATCTGTTCATGTTGATCTCCACTTTGTTTTAGAGAGACAAGCGTAATTTAAGGGCTGATTGAATATTAGTTTTTTTTATGACAATTTATTATCTAGAAAACCAGAGAGAATTTAGCTGCAATTTACGCAAAACTTTATTTACATATATGAAATCTGTGTTTTTAATCTTATAATTTATCGCACTTTCGGTGTGGTGACATCTGTCTGAATATGGCTGTTACACACAGTTCCCTGACCAATATTTCATCCATATAAGATTACAAGACTGTTTTCTGCATGATTTTCGTAAGTGATTTCAAACTTCTTCTCAAAGTTTGCAAGCATGCGTGTAGACAAAAACTTGTTTCACGTCTACATCCTTTATTGGTATATCTGTACATACTCAAGTGTCGCTTGATAACATGTATTTACTCAAACGCATATAAAATAATTCCAGTGGAAATTTAATACAAAATTTAGACAAGTTTAAAGACATCGCGTCTTTCAGAAATTCTGATTTTTGTTAGTATCGTTTATTTGTATTTGTGAAACGGTAAATACTTAATGAAAAAACTTCTAAAAATAAAATAATTAGTTGAGATCCATAGAGAAATAACCATTAAAGGTTATTTTTCAAAGATGAGTAGACTTTAGAGTTCTGTAATTATTGATTAAAACCAAGATTTGCAGATGACAAAAAGCCAATTACAAACGAAAGACTCAGTAGTCCAATGAACGTCAAGTCCCGGTCGAAAATCAATAAAGATTTTGTAACGTAACTGGTTTGTTAGTTGTTTTACATATAAAGGAACCTAGTGTGTAGTAAAAATCATCTGAATAGGATAGTTCATGCTCCCGGTTAGTAGACTTATGATAATCATTCGCATGTGCGCGTAATATATGTAAGGTACTTATATGAAATATTTGAAATATTTTGTCAAGTTTCCTACAATGCATGTTTATACATGAAAGTAATTTTAACTGTTTTGAATATCTAAAGTGAAATATCAAATGAACGAATATTTTCTTATGTTTATCCGTACACACCGTTTTTTCGGATATATTAGTCATGGTCTTCACCTTCGCTTTCACAAACGCCACACACATTCAGAAATATATATATATATATGTATTCGAACAGCAAAATAAAAACGGAAGTGTTTACTTTTCCCTTATATCTGAAAGCAAACTGAAGTTATCTCAACCATATGACACTTTAACTACTTTGTTTGTCTTGTATTATTGCTTCTACAAGTTTCATGAAATTGTGTCAACTTGTTTTTGTGATATCTTCATCAGTGAATGCATAGATTTCACTATTCATTTTGGTGCTTATATATTACTTCAAACTTTTGAATTTTCAGTAGCGGTGATGTTATTTTAACGGTTTTGTATTGATAAACTAATACCAAACCATAATTGTTTTCCAAGTTTACTGGTGGTCAGTAAAGTATTCGAAGTTTACGAGCGCGTTGACCAAGTATCCCTTCCGGACCTCTCATGTGATTGAAAAGCATTCTATCGTACATCGTAAAAGACAATTTGACACAAATAAATCTCATCCTTTTACTAGTAAAAAGAATTGTCCACTGGGGAAATTAAGTAACAGTTATTGGATCTTTTTGGCACATAATCGATATTCATGCTTAGCAGTTGAAGAGGTTCCTAGTGAACCCTCACAGCAATATTATTAATAACCACGACATATACATCTCTTTCTAATGGTTTGGCAATTTCTTATCGTTTAAATTATTTTCTTCGTGTCTCATAAAATCAAACAGTTTCTAGTATTACAAAATTAAATTATGTAACTATTAGCTGAAAATTAAGAGAAACATCCTCTTGGTTACGCTTATAGCAACAAAAAACACCAATAATATTTATCATACATGATATGAATCATTTATTACCTGGCTATGAGAATTTCCTCATCGTATTTTTATTTCATTTTGAAGATAATCTATTTTGAATGACCTCAAGGTGATTGTGACGTGAAAAAGGCTATGTTATCACATCATTAGAAAGTACAGCCAAGACTTTGCTGAAGAGTCCTTTAGAGTTGTTGATCATGGTCAGTGTGTGATCAAATGGGTAGCTGGGAGTCTTCCAAAGCAAAGAATAATTATTAGTTAATACCAGATAATATAAAATAAGCACCGAAGGGAATAGAATGAACTATTCATTTTGGCTAAAAATAAACTTGCGTATTAAAAATACCTTGGGGGATACCCTGCGAGATTTCGTCAAGTGGCGAAGTAACTTGTCAAATATATATATATATACCATTAAGTGCAAACTGAAAGAAATTAAGTATCTGGTTCAGTTTTTGTCATACAGCTCTTTTGTATTCAATTCATGACCGAGCGTCTTACACGTCATAATATTTACCTACTTTTAGAAAGGCACAGTAAACAAACAGAGAAAGTATTCAGGGTCTGTAAACGAAAATCGTGAACATTCACTGGAGTATTTCATAAAAATTATAGTAAGTCATTAATTGAAGGTTATGCCGTATTCTTTTTTGTAAAATGCCAAAGGAAATACCACACACAGATATAACGTACCATGTAAATAAATATTGATCAGTATTAGCAATTAATGAAAAAGAGTAATAATCACTTTCTTTTTTGTACTCAATTTCAGTTGAATATTTGCTTTCACTTGGAATCAGTCCAAATATATCCAATGTTGATGGACTGACAGCTTTACATCAGGTATGTATGCAATCTTTTCATAAAGAAATATAATTCAATAATGTGTGAATACATCATACATGGTATCATGTAAAAAGAATTAGACCATTGGAATTTTACCGCTGAAGCACTTGATAAAATCAGTTAGAATTCGTCTGAAGTTAGTTTACCATCTCCTTCATAAACAAAGTGGAACTTTCAGTCAGAAAAGTAAAATACATGGATTAATTTTGAGTTTGTATTCAGTGAAAATCATTGTAATTAAATCACCATCAAAGGCGTTTTTGATGAATATTCCACGCATTTAGGAATGCAATTGATGTTTATGGTATTCTCATTACCAGTAACTGGTATATTTATTCCATAGATCATATGAAATGTCACACGATGGTGGTGATCAAAAGAATGTGCTTAAGACATCGGAAAATCCTTTTAAATTTAAAGTTATTTTCTACAGCAATATCAGTGGCTGACGTTTACAAAGTAACGTGTAGCATTATCAACATTCACTCAATTATGATAAACATCCTTCGACACATAATTAAAGCACTTTGGGATGATCACTGAAAAGCATCATGTGTAGTGGTCCTTATTTCACTTCTCTTTATTTATATATCGTAAAGTAAATAATGAAGAGAATTTGGAAATATTTTATTTGTATACAAATTAAATGGTTATCTCCTAAAGTGATGTATTAGCACGCAGGATTCACGATGAATTAATAAAATGCAACACACCTGGTATCTCATCCTTGAACATAATTAGTTGTTCAACGTCAGTCAAAACAAAGTAACATCTGCCTAAATGTTCGTCATACATGTCGAACTCTAGAAAGTCATCCTAATAATATGAAACAAATGACCTGATTCTTAATTAAATCTTAACCAAGCTTTTTATGTGATACACAAACACTCTACATCAAATTTTCTCATGTGTCTAGAAGATGTGATGAAACATTATGATAGTAGTTTCACTGACAATTATTAAAATTTTCTTTATGTTATATTGCTTAACAATTATGTGATAAATAAAACGATTGAACAAATTTGAATGGGAAGTCAAAACACAAAGAAAAATATCGACTTCCGAAATAGGGTTTATGTCAATACATTTGCTTTAAACAATCAGATAGAAGCGCAACTTATAGTAGAAAGTTAGTCTATCTCTTTCCTCATCGATTATTTTGTTCCTCACTCAACAATATTTTCAATGTTTACGTTACACTTACCTATTATGTATATATATATATTAATGAGCCTGCAATTATTACTTCTGTAAGATTTACATGTGTAAAATGTACTTCCAAACCATAGATATAACCATTTTAATGATAAACTAATGGATTTTGTATAGTCTTGATGACATATCACTCCATCAGATAATTGAGTTTTAGTTAACCATTCAGCACTGTGTTAGAATTTATTTGCTTGAAAACCGTTCACACAAATTTAAGTGATCAAACCACAAATACATATAACAGCTGTGGAACAACCACATATACTCGTCCAGTAATTTGAAAAGAAGTAGAAAAGCTGAAATTTTTGGCCTTTGAAAATGAATTAGTATGATCTGCTTGACAGAGATTTGAATATTTTTCGAATTCACATATTTCATCTGGTAACTGAAGCCACTATATATATATATTCATGAACCTTCTTGAACAATTCGTAACCAACTTCCTCGTCGCTAATTCTTATACTTCTGGATACAATGTAACATATGCTGACTCTTGAATTACATGGTTATGAATATTCAATACGATAGGTTTTCTTCGATGATAACTCTGAAGTTTTCAAGCATTGATATCTGTTGTTTTCCCTGCATTTGTTACTGCTGTTTGCACTCTCTGATCACGAACTAACTTCAGTTAGAATACCATTAAAAGTCAGGGAGTACTGGCTTTGGACCTCTTTAGTAGTACACACATATAACCCCATGAGGAGTTGACCCCAGCGCCTTCACTTGTTGGAGGTCTAAATTGCCTTTGAACTTTAAACTGTATCTTACAAACTTTCAAATCGACATTATTATTTTACCGCATGAAACGAAATGTTCATTTTTAAAATGTACAATGGAAAAGAGCTACAGAAAACCAAATAATATTGGTAAAGAAACATGCCGATGCTGACTACACCTAAACTTTATAATGCTGAAGTTGTCAGATTAAAACTAGCAGTCAAATTGAAATCATTGCGCACCGAATTCCATTAAAACAGCCACTTATAGTTTAGTCTAAAGATATCACAAAATTTGCTTGAAAGCTGAATATAGGAATGACCATCTTCTATTAAGTAAATTCACAGATGGCATGGGACTCTGTCTGAATTTGCATGCTCCGCAAATCAGTTCACTGAAATTGTGGTTTGTGGATGAGATGCATGCTTTAATCTATATGAAGAGTTACTTTTCAATCACTCGTGCTTAAATGTTTTCAAAAAGTCAATATCAATTGGTTTGACTGCCTGTGTTACAATTACCTATAAATAATATTAATATCTACGAAGCAAGTAGAAACCCAGAGGTTTCCCATAACAATCAAGGAAGATAACAGTCTATGGCAATGTTATTGAAAAGAGTCTAGCTGAGTTAACTAAGTCGATACAAAATTATTGTTTTCATGTTAGTCTATGACAACTCGTGCACTTGAAAAGATGCACGTTGTTCTTTTTATGATGTTAAATTTTCTGAATATTGTAAGAAACTATTTATCTCAGTTTACTAATAGTTGAAGACATATTCCACTGTAAATTATCAGCGATAATAATAAAGGTAATAATAAAGTAATAATAATGGTGAATAAGCTTTATCATAGTCATTTCGATTCTTGTCAGTAATTGTTTGAAGGTTTTTGGTTCAGAATCAAAATAGTCTTCTTGTGAGCATGTTGGAAGTCAACGTTGTAATTCATTAACTGATAGGGTAACAATATATATAAATGATTTGATTCAATTTTAGATATTCCCGTCAACAGATTGCATCGAAGTGCTAGGTCTCAGGTTGACATGTCGGCTTCTTGTGCGGATGCTTCGATGATGTCTGGGCATGTAATTAGAGTTTAATTGGTGGATCATGACTAGCAGTGGAATCCAGGATGCGCATTTAGTGCTGTCTGGGACTCGTCAACTGGATGTACCTGCATTCCGCAGTGAGTGATGATGTTCCCACCGAGAATCGAACCCAATGCCCATAGTTTCAAACGACAAAGCGTTATCCACTTGAGCACTTGGGCCACGAGAGCCACCTCTTGTGCAACGGGTCACATTGATTATTTGATTCAATTTAAGATTTTCCCCATCGAAGCATCTGCACAAGAAGCCGACATGTCAGCCTGAGAAAGAGCACTTCGGTCTAATCAACCGACCGGAAAATCTAAAATTGAATCAAATAATCAACATGACCCGTTGCACAAGAGGTGGCTCTCGTGGCCCAAGTGCTCAAGTGGATAACGCTTTGTCGTTTGAAACTATGGGCATTGGGTTCGATCCTCGGTGGGAACATCATCACTCACTGCGGAATGCAGGTACATCCAGTTGACGAGTCCCGAATGGGACGAAATGTGCATCCTGGATTCCAGTGCTAGTCACCATCCGCCAGTTAACTTCAAATGTATAAATGATCTTTGTTCTGTAATGAAAAAATATTTTTTTGTACTCTAGGCTTCAGTAATATTATAAAATGTATTCTTTTAGTGAAGCTCATAAGCTTACTTCTCAGAAGAATCATTAATACAGAAGAATTAATTCTGTTTTCCTCTTTTTGAGCAGCTGTTTTGGAATTCGTATAGAAAATGATTTGAAAGCATAATCAGGGTAAAGTAGTTTACCTGAGGAAACACGTCTTAGCTTTTATAAAAACTGTGTTCCATTCAGAACACATAATCAGTTGAGTATCGACTTTAGTAAGGCGTTTTAATACTCTAAATGAAAATCTTATTTTAAGTGACCTTACAGTTAACAAATCATCAAATGACAAAATCACACTTATTTCTTTTCAATAATAATAATGCTTTATTTCAGACAATACGCGAATATGTGGTACAAAACTTTTCAGCGTATTTGGTTCCAAAATTCTTCTTTTTCTTCATACAGGATTTACATGTAAATTAATAATCTGAAGTATATTTTAATTTCGTTGAAGAATTGCGCAGCGTTGACTTGGAAAGCAAGATAAATCAGCGTACAAGTTCATGTTTAGGTCATGTGATATAACTGGACGACTATAACAATTATAAATCCAGATGAAATTAAGCATTTTGGTGGAAAGCAATTTCGGCAGCCCAGGGATTTAAGCAGGTTGCCTCAGGTTGAATGTGTAAAAACCTGTTTTGTGGAACAATTAAAATACCTAACTAAAGGCTTTATTCTTTCTCTTACAGTTCTGCATGAAAAAGATAATATGTTTTCACATACAATGATATTCTGTTTCTAGTCAAATACCTATTTTCCGTTTTTATCCCTTTCTACGGTACGCATATTTATTCATTTCACACAAATGCTCATTATCTGCTGTTTTTCTCTTGGAATACTTTTGTTGCTTCTGTTGCTTTTTATGAATAACAGTAATAATGAAAATAACATGATATTATCATTCCCTTGAATTCTGGATGGTCTATAAAACTTCAGCACCTCATTTCTTCATTCACTTCTATTCTATGCAATCCCCTTCAGCTGGCTGAACGATCTCACAAAAAAAATTATATTTTCATAACAATTCAATGTAACTCATGCACACATGTCAGGTTATTATTTGTCCAGCTGAATTTTAGTAATTTTCACCTAAACATTTAAAAAGTTTTACTGAATCTATTGTTCACTTTTAATCAAAGTGAAGTGAAAACCTTACTCCAGGAATTTTCTCATCAGATATCTATCCATTTGCTTCCAAATATATGTATACACGAATGAATGCCTCTATGTATATATATATATATACATGTATGTATATAAGAATTGTTAAAATAAGGTTTATCAAAATGAGCAGTACTTTTGTTATATGATATCACAGATCAACAGAGAATTAAGTAGAACATCTGCAAGATAAAAGTAGCTCATGTTCTTTTTATTTCATAGCTGTTCATCAACTTGTAACAACCTAAAAATGTCATAAACTATTATGAGTACAAAAATATATTAGATACTTCCAAAACTATTTCAACTGAGAGATCATAGTTATGGAAAAAAGGATACAGATACAATATAGCTCATAATCCAACAACCAGGCTTTATTTATACACAATGTTACTGAACGCCTGAGATGAGAGAGTGGGAATGAAAAGAAATGACAAGTAAAAGAAAACTTATCACGTAAACAAACAACTACGTAAATCGGAAGATTAATTACATGTTCAGCTCAGTGAGTTGTAATCAAAGCACAAGATTGTGATGCAGAAATGGTACACAAACAGAGTAGAGACGTCTAGTCACCAGGATAGTGTGATAAAGTAACCATGCTGTCTTCATGCATACAGAGATTTGATCGAAATCTTTTGACAGCAATCGCTTCTATCCAACGTTCTTACTTTTCCTATGAAGATTGTTGGGAATAGGCTCAGAAAATCCAATGGATGCTCTCCTCTCAGTCAATACAAATAGAAACCCATGGCTGCTTCACTTAGCAGTAGCCAGTGACATTAAACAATTTCACCTTGACCTCTGTAGACTGAAAGGTAGTGTGGTATCTCCGTTGTGTGTCTGTGATGTATCACAATTTCGTTTTCCTGATTACGACCCACTCAGCTGAACTCGCTATTGATCTCCCATTACAATTGATGCTTTTCTTTACGCAAACAGTTTACCCTTACTTACCATTTCTCTTTACTCCCGCCATCTCGTCTCAAACATCCCATCACATTATGTATAAATTAACTCTGGTTTTCAGATTATTATGCATTGCGTATTCGATCATACCGTGTGCTCCACAACTATGACCTCTGAGTTTAAATAACTTTTGAAGTGTTATATGTCTTTTGCATTTGCTCTCGCTTTGTTCAAAATCAATCAGATTATATCTATTGAAAAATTTCAGAATTAGTGTTTCTGTTTGTATTTCATTACTCGATGCACTGAAGGTTTCAAGAGAAATCAACAAATGAAATAGAATAGAACTGTAAAGTCACTAAATACCCTTGATAGTCTATAAGTACCCATGTTACTGATACTAAGGCACTGTGCCTTAATATATTTGAAAAGTAAGGAGTTTTCTGAATGTTCAACTCTTTAAGGCACAACCTCACTAGAACTGCAGTAAGGTGCAATAGTTTCAGGTATTTTTGCCTAACAATTAAACTTCATCAGAAACATTACTGATATGAGTTCATTACGTCATTTTTATTCAACATTAGGAGGTCTCGTCCAAAGAGACTTTACGTGTAAACAGTTACTTAAGGACAATCTAGGCTAACTTACTGTTTATTACACAGAAATATTATAAATTTTTCAAATAATGAAAGATTAATTACTGCTTAGCACAATTTTAGGAGGATTTCATGATACTTGCATTATGTCTTCGTAACAATGTGCATGGCTTATTGGGAATTAATGAGCTTGTTAAAGACCCAGACTAAGTGGAAACCTCCAGAAATTCGAACATTATAAAGAAATGAAGTATCATGTTGCATATATGATATCAGTTTAAATGAATGCAAAATAAATAGAGTAAAAATCCATTTTACTACTTAAAGTAGAAAAAAAACTAAAATGTACATAAAGATATAAAGTAAATTAACATATATGTAGTTTTTCTGCTAAAGTATTTGACAAGATGTAAGGATGTGGTCATCCTTCATAAAATTGTTGACTTTCAGGCCTACTGTGGAAATGTATTACATTTTATTAAACATATCCTGTAGTAATTCGATGGGTATAGTCTAAAAAGTAGTTTACTCACCAGGTTTTGAGGTACGATTCTGACGTCGGCTGCTTCGTTTAAAGCGACTGTTATGGCGTTTTTATTTTACATTTCCTAACTGTTTAAAAACACTTTCTCGTGCTTTTTCGGAATCTCTAGGTCACGCTCATTATAACTGTGTTTTTTCCTCTAGGCCTGTATAGATAATGATATAACCTTATGTAACATACTGCTGGATTACGGAGCGAATGTAAATGCACGTGATGCGGACCTATGGACACCACTGCATGCTGCGTCGACTTGTGGTTATTTGCAAATCTGTCAATTATTGATTAAACAGTAAGTAATACCAATTACGTGAATCAGTTACTTTGTGTACAATATAAATTTTCAGTGTTATTTTTATTGTAATTTCGACGATTAACTCTCACAGTGGAATGTCAGTTTGCTTAAATTGTCATACAATTAATTCAGCCGACACAGTGATGTACATGAAATTTTCTAGGAAAAAATAATTTTATCATGATATGGTGAACTGCTTTCAACAGTATCAGGATACAAGTTCATATCTGAGTCTTATTCGTATTATATTACAAACCTTTTCATTTTCAGAGAAGAGCATTTTGTACAATAAATGTAAATTCATTTGGTAGTCGTGAGAATAAAATTAACCTGCTAATTTTCAGGAATGTTTAGATATACTGTATTCAAATCAAACTACAAACCCATTAGTCGAAAGCATTGCATAACGAGCAACAAAAAAGAGATATTTTTATATTATATATAGTCCATAGATAAATGCTTACATAACTGGGGAATTATAAGTAATAATGGACAGCAAGTCTATTTACCTATTCATTTGTGAACATAACCTTTCCCTATGTTCCTATTCAAATCTGTAATGATTCGTGCAAATTCCGAGCATTCAGGGATACTGTTTGAAACTTTGAATAGCTAGCTCTCATTTTGACTATCAAGTCATTTCACCGAATGTTTTAGTCTGATGGTAACCAGTTATTTGCACAGTTTACAGCTATGAATATTCGTAAATTTGAGGTTCTGTGAATAATGCTGGAATTCATCTTATTCAGACAAAATTCTATTCAGAGTAACTTGTTTGAAGAATCAGTTAAAATTTATTTATTTACTGAAAGAACTACACAATGAGATATGTGAGCTTCTGTTCATACTTTCAATAATCCTCATACAAACAGTCCTTCTTCTTACGTATTAATTCTTGATAAGTGAAAAACCTATAGATATCGAAACTCTTCGCATTTGTTCACTTAAGAATTGCAGCTAGTTGAAATGAAACTTGTGTTCTGCAAATAAATTCGTTTCCTGATTAATCAGTTGTTTATCAGCTATAATGAGCGAGAAACAGTAATACATCAAAACCAAAAAACTGGGTATTTGACAATTGTTTATATAATCAAAACATAATAGTTTTCTGTTGCTCTCTGTTGTCTGTAATCAATATGCATAAACATTCATAATGGAATAATGAATTTAAGTAAATTTTCAAGAAAATTTTACTTCATCATGAAGAGATGCAGTTAAACGAAGCTATTCATTTCACGATGATTAGAACTTGTGCTTATTCAAGCAGAAAAAAGATTGTGAAAATAATTGTTATATTCATAGGAAAAAATGAAATAAAACAAACAATTATAAAGTTTTAAATATTCAACAATGGAATTATTACTCAAACCAATCTAGATTAACAGTATTACTGAAATAATGAAAGTATAGCTAGCCGTGTTGCTCATGTTTTTTCCGTAAATGAGCAACTTTCATCTTCTATCACTTCACGAATGCATTCCATGCAATTTCATTGAAAATGAGACATTTCTGTGGCCAACAAGTAAAGAGAACGATGATGCACGTGTTTTGAAAGTCTAGTTCTTAAACTTTATGGCAGGTAGAAGTAAATTTAGCCCTGCGTTATTCACTCGCCGAATGCTTCCAAGAGAAAACAGGAAATAATGACATGTAATATACCACTGACAGTTCAGTTTGAACGAATTATGCATTATCAATCTGTGAGAAAGATACAGACAAAAGTCATGATGAAAACATTCAGTGAGGTTCACAACAGTATCCTAAACCGACTCTGAATTTCACTTCCTACGGTAAAAGAGATTTCGCAGCTGTCTTGACAAATCCAGTCTATAGAACAACTAATACACAGTGTTTTAGCTGAATCCTTTTGAGGCCAATGACAGATCTAATCCATTCCCAATGTTTGGAAATTAAAAAGGCCTGCATTCAAAACATAATTAACAATGAACTGGAAAGATTCCAACGAGTACTCAAACACCATGGATAATCTACAGAGTTCATAATTGAAAAAATTAGAGCGAAGCAGAGGTCCTGAAAAATCTCCAGAGCTCGAAATAAACTCGTTTATGGACGTTAAGTTTATTGGGAATACTATGGTTGAGGTTAAAGAGAAATGCTTTTTCGGATCAGTTAGAACAGCACCTTTTATGCTGAGCTGTCGTTTGACTTCTTAAGCTGGCGAACAAATGTAGGATGTGGGAGAAACGAACTGCCACCTTGGGTCACTTCGTTTGAACTACAAATTCACTTGATTCCATACGGCTAACTGAATAGGCTGTAAGAAGTGTGCAATTTCCAAACCAATCGCAGAAGACTATCCTGCTTCTCTGTAAAGAAAACAATGCACGTTCACGTTTAAAATGATTCACAAGCAGGGCCGAACTGTATGTACAGTATCACATTTCGATATTTATAAACAGCTAGGACAATAGCAATTTACAAATTAGTCCCGAACTCTGTGCCTAGAAAACATTTATTATTATTGTGTTAGATTTTGAGTAGAGCATGGGGCCAACCACGGTTGTGGTCCGGGGTTCGATCTCCGGCCGACGCAACCCTAAACCTCACTAAGTCGACAGTAGAACCAGTAAAGATGGAAAGTTAGGCTAAGTGAGCCTAGCAATCCCACCCTTTAGAATAAAACAACTGCTACTGAAGCTTCACAGCTCAAGCCTGAAGCCCTATGTCCCATTTGGGAAGCAAATTAATAAAATAAAATTAGTGCTTCAGCTTCCTTCACTCTGTTCTCTACAGTTTTTTTAATCCGGTTGTATGATTACCAACAAGCTCCAGTTTTCTATCAGTATGATCTCTTGTATATCACTGCCGGACGCTCGGCATTGGTTTCACTCATGGGCCTAGGGCGTGATGTTACTCGATGATCTCCTCATCGTGTGTCCACCTCCATTTCATTCGACATACTTTTTAGGCAGCAGATTCTTGGTTGCTTCTTTGCTAGAGTTATCTGCTGTGTACCCTTTATTATCATTTCAACTTCAGTGTTAAGAGAAATCAGCTATCGATGAAAGCCTGAAGCCTGTAGGGAATAGTTTTATTGGAACGCGTATAAAGTCTCTGAACCATACTAAGGCACTATCTTGACACTATTGTTGAAAAATGGGACCGTTCTGTGCTGATCACTGTCGATTTGCACACTGATTTCACTATAGTTCACTCCTGTCTTACTTTCTTGATCCGACTATGGCTGGATTCCACATCTTTGTCCATCTTATCTAATTACGGTTGAAACAACGGTACCGAGGTAAGTGAAGAAGACAATATCCTTAAAATTCCTCCAACTGAGAATTGGTGCTTGTTGTTGTTTGGTTGTCGTCATCACCTCTGCCTTCTCTTTGTTCACTTGAATTTATGCCTTAACTGTATGTTCTGCCGACTTGTTGATTTTGCCTGTAGATCTTAGAGTTTGTGAGTCACCATACATGAAATGTCTGTAAAGTTCAGATAATCCGGGGTGCTTCTATCGGGCCCACGTATGCTCATCTTCTCACTCCTCATGGTCTGCTGCATGACCTAGTCCACCGGAAGCAGATTTGTCATCGATGATAGTGAACAATCCTGCCATCGATGAAATTTCCGTCGTGAATTTCAAGTACACGGTTGACTGACATTTTAGTTTAATGTGTCACTTTGATTCCGATGCAAAGTGTTTTAAGTGAATCCACAGTTTTCCAGGCGTTGACTTGAATGCAAAGCATATTTTAGTCTCCAAAATAGTGAGGGTTAATTTTGTGCATGCAGTGAACTGGAGCATGACTCCGCACCAGTTCCAGACTTCCAGTTCCTGCGTACATATCCTTTCAATGCAATTCTGCATCTCTGCTGTGAGTAAGTCTGATTAAGTCTCTGGGTACGTTATCAGTGGTTTTGGGTGAATTCCATATGACCATAGTATTCAATGCGTCTGTGGTTCAGCGGTAGAGCGCTGGCCGACCATGCACGTGTTTATTATTATTAGCATTATATGCATTCATTGGTTGATTTTTGCTTAAAAATGAACTCTGTGCAAGTATGTTATAATTGTTTCTGTAGATATACTTAATAATGTATCTGGGATGTAGGCAGATGATTAGGTGCCAACGAAATTATTGATGGTACCATTTTATTCTGAAAAACTGTTTTTCTTGCTTTGCTCAAATTGAATAGGGAAATACATACATAAAAGATTCTTCGTTTGTCGTTGTAGCCTCTTGAAGGGAAATAAGAAATCATGAAACATTGTAGTAATCCCTGTATACCATAGTTTTAATGAGGTCTTATTGGCAAGATTGAAAAAATACAAAATATTCTGCGAGTTTGAATATCCTCTTTGAAATATGCATTAGTCATCTCCAATGTAGAATTGTGAATACAAAACAAGCAAACATTCACTATTTCAATCCCTAAAAGAACAGGTAAAGTTTGTTGAGATAAGTGAAGAATAGGTTACAGTGTATATTCTTTCAGTTTTCTAAACTATAACGACGAGTTTATCAAGTTATATGAAAAATGCAGAGAAAGGAAAATGCAATCATTGAAGTTATACAAATCTCATTTGAACAAGCCAAAGGTATGTTCAAAAGAAATTTGTACAGCCTCTTAGTTTTCTATGACCATCTGAATAATATCTATAATGTCCTACTTTTGGTTTTCCCCTATCCTTGTAACCACCATTTGATTTTGTTATTTTATTATAATTCATATTCTAGCTGATTCAGTTAACTTATTTGTACCGTGGTATTCTTATGCAGTTCATTAAAAACGTCAAAAATTACGGAAATTATCACAAATGTGGTAATGTTTAATTTGCCTATGATATGATACATATATCTATTCTACACACCATAATAAAAAAGTATTAAATAACTAATTCCCCAAGTGTGCTCGAGCAGAATGTGACACATAAAGAAGAAACTGATTATAACAAACCTCAAGCTGCTAATTATACATGATTTTCATATTCTCAGTAATCGATGAGTATTGGATCTTGCAGAAGTGAA